TGGACAAAATCATAACTCATTCAACCATAAATGCAGGGTAGGGGCATCCTGTATCCATAATTATGAGGAGGGCATGGAACAATCATCCAACTGTAGGAACAAAGTATGGATGTCCTGGTGCCAGTGTTATGAGACAGATAAATCTCTCAAACTCAACCGTAGAAGCAGAGAAAGAACCTTCTGCAACTAGAGTTAATGTGAAGAGAGGCATCTACTGTACTCTGCTATAGGAAAAGGCATTGTAATACTGAACCCAGCATTACAAGGAGGATCTTGCATAGGCTGGACCTGCTGCAACCTACTATTTTTCTTTCTTTGCTGTCCACCTAGGAAAAAGCATCCAGAAGAAATGGAAGGAGGGAAACCAGCTTTGCCTACTTCTCACTGAGTGGCTAATCATGAGTATGACTTGTAAGGTAAATTTCTAAACTCACTCAGGAGGAAGCCTCCATGGTCCACCACCCCAGCAACTGGGAAGTGGTAAGAACTCCTGTGCTCCACTACAAGAAAAAAAAAGGGGTGGTGGAAATGCAGTGGGGAGTCTGGAGGAATGTCACACCAGAGACAGTGCAATGGGTGTCTGTGATTCCCTATTTTGAAAAGAAGACCTACCCCAACTTATTCAATCAAAAGGTCAGCAGTGATGGGTAGAAATCCAGAAATATATATCTAGTATATATATATATATATATATATACACACACCAGTGTTCTTATGGAAACACCCCATCTCTACGGTGAGCTTTATATAGCAACTCTAAACTAGTGTGGGTTTGAAGCAAAGCACACCTTCCCAGGCAACACCCACCACAGAGTGCATTCCATTATCAGTGGTTAAAACTAGGGTTCCTGAAATAAAAACATAAATGAAATGAAATGATAAGACTTACTACAGTCAAAGGGAACTGATATGTAGAATTCCCAAGATAGGGAGAAAATATCCACTAAAGGAAGATACAGCCAGGTCATGCAGATAATGAGCGATGTAGGTAGTCCACATTCCAGCCTGAATGAACTCTTCTAAGGGAAGCCAAAGTTGTGCAGCCAAGGTCATAGTGATGTGACGAATCTGAAGAGAAGAAATGTTGTGAAGATGGTGACCTTCCATGGGTAAGTTCAAATATGTAAGCCTAATGAGTTCACAAACCCAACCAGTAGGTGTGACAGAGGACAGATCATGGGAAACAGAAGGGTTTCAGGGAATAAAAGGTTGGGAACGTGAACCCCAAAAGGAGGTAATAAGTGTTACATATCCCTTTAAGTCATGAACCGGACAAAGAAGCTGATCAGGATCAGAATGGGATATGGAAGTTAAGGAATGGATGGGAAAGCCAAACCACCTAAACTGGCAGAATAGGTCTTGGAGAGGAAGGGCCAGTTGGGATAGAGGATGAAATAGGAGGAATGGTAAAGGTTGTGGGTAACAATAATAGCATAAATATCTAACCAACAACAAATGCAAGCAAGGAGGAGAAGGAAAAATATCTTGAGGGAGGGAAGGTAGATAGAACAAAAAGACAGAGGTTTAAATGGAGGACAAGAAAGAGCATAAAAGGGCACAATGAGATCCCAATAAGAAATTCAAAGGAACGTGAAAGGAAGGAAAGGGCAGGGGAATACAAAACCAGATGAAACCTGGAGAAACAGAATGAGGCCTGATAGCTGGACATGGACAAAGTGGACAACCTTTGTCATACAACTGGGTAAAGAATATGGAAAGATAAGGAATGGAAGGGTGGGAAGGACAGAAACCATGATGAAGAGACCAAAGTAAGAGGTATACCATCATCTGTGGTAAATGGACATGGAAGAATGTCTAATAGATTGGGAAAGGAAAGATGCAACATGTGGAGTCAATCCCTAGGCTGAGACAATGGGCCTGAGAAATGCCATGCGTAAAGACAAAGAGTGGTGATATCTGTGGAACGAGGGACTACTCCATGAAGAGAATTGTGTTGGGAGAAGATAAAAGTTCCACCATCAAATTCAGGAAAAAGGAAAGCTAATGTGGTGACTGTGAGCCCAGAAAGGAGATCCAGAATTTTAAAGCATAGAGATCTGGAATTGGTAACCCCTCGCTCAGTGATATAAGTGATCACTGTGGATAAGTCAGTATGTCTCATACCCCCCTACATAGGAGAGGAACTACCAAAGGCTCAAAAAGACACATTGATTATCCATAGACCAGAAATCTCCCAGTAGTCAAGGTAAAACCCCAAACCCTTTGAAGATGAGAAAAGACACCTTGATCATCCATACCTTTTTTCACATACTCATTTTCAAAGGGTTTGGGGTTTTACCTCGACTACTGGGAGATTTCTGGGGTATGGATGATCAAGGTGTCTTTTCTCATCTTCAAAGGGTTTGGGGTTTTACCTCGACTACTGAGAGATTTCTGTTTTAAATCCATATGAGGTGGAGTAAGCAGCTCCCCTGCCATGGTCTGGATTCTGTCTAACCACCAAGCCAGGGATCTCAGGAGAAGTTCCAGTGACCAAAGAGTGTTCACCTAAGGGAATTCATATTATCCTGATCCATGGGAATTACAGCTTCCAAGGAAGTCCACATCTGTAAAGAGAAAAAACATCTTGAGCCATAAGTAAAGGTGAAGGATTTGCGAACTGCTCATTGCAAGACCAAGGATAAAGAGGAGAAGGCCTGGCTCCCCCCCTCCAAAAAAAAGAATGGGGTATTGAGAGAGGTTAAAAACGGACTTTCCCACTGTCAACAGGAATCTCACCCATTCTGCATCCTGTAGGAGCAGAGGATTGTGGTCTCTGGACTGTAAATGGGAGGAAGCAAGCAGGAGCCAGTCATCCATAGAAGGAAGGGTGCAAAAACTCACAGAGTGAATATGTCAGGTAAAAGTTTGTACTATCCCAACAAAACAGGTAAAGAGCTGAGATTAGTCCAAAAACTTTGGCCCTGAACTGGAAAACTCGACTGAGAGCAATAAATAACTATCAACGAAGTAGTGGGCACTGTGGGGAAGAATCTTAAATTGTAGATTATGAGGAGAAAATTAGGTTTCTAGGATTACAAACATTGCAAAAGGAGACAAAGCCAACCTCAGCCCAACAAACGAGATAGAAACAAACACATCAACGATGTAACAAAGCAAAAAATTTAAGTCTTACACTGATGAAAATTAGGATGATAAGGCACATAGTTAACACTTATGAAAAAAATTCAGATAGAACAATGAATTATAATTACTAGTAGTAATGATATGTAAGGTATCAACTATCTAAACATACTCAGTTAACAAAGTACTTATAAATAAGAAACTATCTAAGTGTACCTAATCCACAAAGTATTTAATAATAAAAAACATGCAAACCAATGAAAATTACCTAGAAGACACATTAATAATCAATATCTAACTTACCATTCCTCTAAAATAACCTAAACAACAAAGGACACTTAACTAAGTACTACACTGATGAAAAGGCACATAGTTAACAATGTAGGAAAAAACAAAAATTCAAACTGAACAATGAATTAAATGTTACTAGTAGTAATAATATGTAAGGAACAAACTATCTTAACATACCAAGGTAAAGTACTAACAAACTAACATAACCATGAAATTTGCCGAGTCTACAAAGTACATAATATTAACAAACATGCAAAATTATTAAAATTACTGAAGATACAAAGTAATAGCCAATATCTACTTTACAGTTCATCTAAAGTAGCTCAGATGACAAAGGATACACAAATATCTAACTTACCAAAGACTGAGCACTGATGATGTGAAATATGTATTTCTCCCGTGTGTAAATAAGGTCACAGTCATATATAGGGCATCTGAACTTGACCTATCACGGGTATATCAACTTACCACATATTCCCTAGGTGAACTAGAAGCAATAGGAAGAAAGGAGGAGGGAAACAATTCTCACCCAAGGTGAATGACATGGCAGCATGGCAACTGATTGGAAGGTACCAGAAATAGTGAGTCCAAAATGTCTACTCATTGATTGTATTCTTCCTCAGAAACATTGTCATGTTAAAAATAAAAATAAATAGCTGGCTGAACATATGAATCTAGCTTCCTGTGAATTAAGGCCTGTACCTTCTCTGCAGATAAAATCAAACCCGATTCCTGGGAAGTCATACCAGTAGCAATTATCGACAGTAACATTGATCACAAATTCATACTACAATCTCTTGTAATTCAGTAACAAGAAATAAAGGCAAAAAAAATTTTGAAACAAGCAAATGCAAACACAGCAAAATAAAACTGTTGAAAAAAAATGGCAAAGAAGCATGTACATAAACAGTAGTCACTTGTGAAAAACCAAACATCTAAACAATGCTGTGCCAAATGAAAAGTGAGGATTGAGTGGGAATAGCAAAGTGGACCTAGCTGCACCAATATAGGTAGGTGGAGGAATACTATTGGTGGAGAGTAGTCACATGATACACACATGTTCAGAAATGGTACACAATTGATGGGGTAAAGACTGGTGTGCTGATCAAGAAATTGTTTTAGCAATGCTTAGAGGGCAGACAAACATTAAGACAGCTTTATGTGAAACGAGGTAAGACTATATCAGAAAAGTCTCTAATAAGCCCTAAATCATTAAAAATGTTATGGTTAAAACTTTACATACACTTTCTTGATCTTTTTAAAAATCATCAAATGTAACCATATATAACAGTAGTTACTAGTAAATTTATCAGAAGTTTGTAGGGATGCCAGTAGTGATTCCCAGAATCAATTTTAATTTATGGAATGTACTTGTGCAAAAAACAACAACAATGAAAAACATTTTTTGTCAAAAAGCTGAAAAAGGAAGATAATTCTGAAAGTAAAGTCCTGTGAAGAGTAGAATGCTGCTTTCCTTCTGAAACCTGGAGTTCTTACAAATATAGTTAAATGAGCATACCTTAAAAAACTGATAAACATTATGGGCCCTACACAAACTGAAATTTGGTTTAAGAGACCCTTAAATAATCAACGATACTTAGGAATCCTTTCACACAAACACAAAACAAAGTTCTACCACTATACAAAATGGCAAATTTAATTCTGAGTTGTACAAAATAACTTCATCTCAATATATAACTTTATGTACCAGGTATATGCACTACAGATTATAATACAGTTATTTCTCCAATACACAATTACACAGCCATAAAGACCGTCAAGAAATTCAACACAAATTTATGTATCTGCATATATCATAAGAAGTCTTTTGATTACAGTATCCTATGTTTCCTACTTTAGCACTCTGGGATATAACAAACAATCAATAAATTCGTAATCATTTGAAAATGATAGATAAAACGGACAGTGTTGGAAATATGAGCAATTAGACAAGAAGGTGAATGCAAAAAAAGGATTCAGTGAAAACATGTAAAGTATAACATTGGCATCTGACAAAATAGAAATAAAACACTTTGTGAAGTGTTTATAAAATAAAGGTTTAACATAAAACTCTATTCAATATTAATATAGTTTTTTACTTTTAGTTGACACAAATTGAAGTTTAATGAAAACCTTTAACAGTTGTATTTCTACTAATTTTTCTTTTTCATAGCTTTGATCTGGTTTACATGTAATAAAGCATTCTGATTATCTATTATATTTAAACTGTTACCAAAAAACATAAATCCTTCAATGTGATTCTCAAAAAATGGCATACTTAACCATCAAACTCTGACAAATTTTAATTTTTACAAATATTGATATAGAAGAATGTTATGGTGTAAATGTAAAAATAATGAGCTTGTGCCATAGTTTCCTTCTCAAGAATGCCAAACATCCAGTTACACACATCATGATCAACTCATCAAGAACATCAAACATTCAGTCAGATTTTATGTACAATGTCTGAAAAATTCAGAACCTCACCTGTACAAATATCATCACATCACACTATAAATCACATAACAAGGCAACCTTAAGAAAAAGATTACATGTAAGTTTATAGGCAATTAATCCAGACTATCACTATCCATCACGTATTCCAGTAGTCTTAAGACAAATGTCATACATAAATGTATAGGCAACTAATCCAGGATATCACTGTCCATCATGTATTCCAGTAGTCTTAAGACAAATGTCATACATAAATGTATAGGCAACTAATCCAGGATATCACTATCCATCATGTTCCTGTAGTCTTAAACATCATACATAAGTTTATAGGAAACTAAGCTAAGATATTCATCATGTACTCCAGTAGACTTCAGATAAACACTATGCATTCAATCAAAATTCAATTTATATAAAAGATCAATTACATGTATGACAATGAACATATCAACATTAAATTTAGTTACATATTATAGTTAACCAGATCATCAGATATCTTATAAAATGTTTTAGCAAACATAACAAAAGCATCTTACATAAAATTACAGACACTACACCTAACTTCTTAAGATGACTATACAACTAATCACACCACCATAATAAATTAATCTGGAAAATTATGAACTAAACAAATCCATCACCATTAATTTATCAATAAAATATCATAATCAAATATATGTACCACAGTATGCTTATTATAAACATCATAAAAATACAATTAACCTATAAAGAAAATGACACATTCAATAATTTACATGCAGTTAGTGCTATAGTTAACTTTCGCTGAGAATCTAATGCAAGAAAACGTGTTATCATCACACATAAAGATTACCATACAACCAAAAACCTGTGCAATAGCCAAATCATGAAGAATATATTACAACCACACACAGATAATACATTTGAGTTATCAGAGAATCTATCATACATCTAATCACATTAATGTTTCTTCTGACTCTTCTTCTGTTTCTGATGGACCTCGAATTGCCTGATACCATTGATTAGTCAAGTCTGTCATTTGGGTCTTACAGTCTTTCACCTCCTGAGTAGATTTAAAAAAACAAATGAGTTAACTGAATTTCAAAACCTTCATAAACTATACCACATGAAAATAAAGTTGACACAAACAAAGCTTCCAATGTACAACAGTTAAAACAAGCATTATTACAGTTCTGAATGGTAAAAACCTCCAAAGTAATGAAACTAAGACTTGATACTTGAGATCTCGATCGTGTTTCATCGTAATTTTTTACATGTTACTCAATTTTTATACACATCAAATTTGAGATCCATGATGGAAAAATCAAGAAGAATGTGGAAAAACCACATAGAGTCTAGTGCAAGTTTTATGATATATATTAGGCCTTAATACAATGATGCATCCAATATTGTACAACTCACTGACGATTCACCTTACTTAACAGAAAACACAAATATTTATAGAACCAATGAAAAATAAACCCAAGATTAGAGTGTATTTGAAACCTTAAGTAGAAAGTGTTAGTGAAAAATAGAAGTGTTATCAATATGAACATAATGTGTGACTGTGTCATAACTACGTCTCGGCTTTAAAAATGCTTGTTTAAAATAAATGTGAATGATCTCATGCAATTATATGAATCTTTGTTAAATCTTTTAATATAAAACATAACAGTTTCACTGCAGTATTATCAACATGAATAGTGTTCCAGTTCATAGAAGTAAAAGTACTGTTTACAAATGTCGTTAATTTTTCAATATGACTATATAACAAAGTACTTATCCATGAAAAAAACAACAACAATGAAAACCGATTAAAAAAGTGTAGTAGCATTTTAACAGATAAAAATAGGATAAATGAAACTCAGTTGTGATTGAATAGTTACATATATTGCTGTGTGTTAATTCTTGCCTGTGCTATTATGTAGAGATGATGCAAATGCCATCCCTACTATCTTGTTTGCATTCTTTTTGAAGTATTGATATTAACCATCCCTACAATTACTTCCTTTTTTGAAAAGCTTTTTCTCTTCTTGTTCTTTTTAATGCAGTGTTTCAAAAGACACAGGAAGGTTGTATTTAAAACCAAGTTCTAAATAATGAGGTTCCAACTGTAATATTTACTGCTTATCTATTATTGACTGGCAATTTCAGTTTCACCCTGAACTTAAGTTTTTTTAAAGGAACACCAAATTTCCGCAAGAAAGCTAACTTCAAAGGGTAACGATAACATTGTTTACACTAGAATTATGATTTTTTTTTTAAAGTATTACTAGTTAATAATACTTATAAAAGCAGATACTCTGTTTGAAACTATGTCATTTTAATGAAATTGGTTGACACCAGTGTTTTGGTTTTTGAGTTATCATGTAAGGAAAAATATGAAGAAGAAAGAAGAGCAAGACATACAAACTTTTTGCTATGACATTTACAGACATTCCCAGAACTTGTGACTCAGTCATTACATTACATTATAAAAGGAAACACTGTACAGTATTGTAAAGATATGATGACTTATTGAGGAGATATTTAAAATACCATTTCAATAAAAATCCGAGCCATCCCTATATAGGCAGTGCTACCACCTGACTGATAACAGTAACTGGCATTACTAAGTAACACGAAAATATAAGTTTATGATAGTGGAAGCAAAGACAATGAAAAGGCATGTAAAAGACTGCACTGACTGTTTCTGGTGGGTACACTACATTTTATATTAATATACTGTATTTAATTAGGCTAGTGATTTTTATCACGTTTATTGCAATAGATCAATGCAGATATAACTGTGACTTCTGACATTAGAGATGGTGATATCAATATGATGTTAGTGGACTTTATGAATAATTTTGATTATCAAAACATGCAAGACAAGACACCTTATATACATCCACAGATTGTAACATAAGTCCAGTTATTTTGACCTACATAAACTCCACAGATATTACATAAAATATCAGTACATAAATTGCTAGTATACTCTACATAAAATATTGCTGTTGTTTTTCCATACTGATGTTACATATATCCTACACACAATGCACTAACATTTGAAATAATGACCTTAAATGCACCTTATTTACAAAATACTAATGTTTATAACATTAATACTGAGTGTACCAACAAAAAACACCAGTGCTTGAAATACCCTATATAATACCTAAATACAACATATTACAGTCTGTCATATTAATCCTAAATCAACATGAGATTGTAGTGCTAATTTTAAAGTATCAATGTTTGTTGTATGAATCCTAAATATATACAGATAAAACACAACTTAGTGTAGTACTAATCCTAATAGCATTTTGTATTCAAAAGATAACTAATATTTGTAATGCTGATGATACGCACATTAGGTGCACAAAACACTTATAATACAGATCCAAGTATGAACTAATTTTTGAACTGTGCAGTTTTTATAGGACCAGATAACAAAGTATTAACAGTTTAATTATGCTTTGTTAGAACTTTCATCAAAATTGTTTAACAATTTAAAATCCAACCAAAATAGAATTTCTGAAATTTAAGGTCTACCCAAGAAAAATCAAAATTAAAAACCCTTTCTGCTAATTCATTCTGCTTTTGAATCATAGCTTCATTATTTGAAAAAAATCAATAATTCAAAAGTTTATGAATACTAGAAGCAAGTATTTGTTATCAACTTTGCTATATACTTATTCAAGAAGCTGTTTATTTTAACCATTTAACAACAACATACTTTTTAAACTCCTTTCTGCACATGTTATTGAATTACATTCACAATTTAATTAAACCACTTTAATATCAATTTTTTTAAATGAAATTATTATTATTATGAAGTAGATTATAGTTCAAAGTTTTATTTTTTTTTGTTTTTATTTTTTATTCCTTTATTTCAAAAGAAACATTGAAAGCAATAATGAAATTTCTCAGTTTTAGTGTCATGTGCATAAGCACTGTTGAAATTTGGTAAAGTACATCTTGAAGCATAAAGGGATAGTCATTAGATGTAAATCTAGATGAGAATGTAGTTCACTTGTATGTTTCAAAGTTCTTTCACTGAATGCAGTTGAAACAAGGAACAAATTTTGTTGACCCCTGACAGGTGCCATGCCTACTTTCTTAAGTTAACATCGAGCTTTGGAAGTTACATGTACTTTTAACATGTACATATTTATAACCATTAGAAAGAGCTCTTTTTACACTATAATCCAACAATGATTATTTTGAAATTGGCACCAATTGTTGTTGGCTGCCTTGTTTATGATAGCATTTCAGTTGGTTTTACCTAAATATGTTATAGTTAAGAGACAGTTAAATTGTATTTAGGTTTTATATTTTAGTTAATCATGCATTATTAGTGTTTTAAAATTTATATTTGAAAGGCTTAATAATTTTTATAAAATAACCAAAGCTTCCCCTCGCTCTGCAAGGCTTACATTACTAAGCATGTATAAAATATTTTTGCCGGAGGCTAAGATATCTCTGCCATTGATACCATTCTATTGCCCATGGTTACCCTTTGACGTGTGTAGACATAAATAATCAATGGTAAAGAATAGGAAAGGAAAATAAAACATTAAAAATAAACTATAAGTGAAAAGGTAAAGACGTGAAATTATGCAATATAACCCAAAGAAGATATTTTAATATTATTCAAAAAAAAGATTTAAAAGGTATGTACATAATGCAATTTCTTAATTATAAACATTTCATTGCACTGTACATTGATGATAATAGCTAGAGTTGTTGATATGATAGAGAAAATGGAAAAATAAAATATTAACATTTACCTTAAAAATCTTCTGATATTCATTTAGGAGGTTCTAGAGATTATGCAAGTGAAATGTGAAAACTGTAAGATAACTACTTGCAGGTGAACTATTCAGAGTCTGAGTGCAAATAACTACATTAAATAAGGAATATTTATTATAAATAGTATAAAAAATAAGAATTAAATATTTCATATATCTCAATCTATATACTGTTACGACAGCAGAAGTCATGTGATGCTGGAAACATGTGCGCTGGAGTTTCTAGAAGGATCATGACTGTTCCTGGCAACTGTAGTCTTTTCTACGCGCCCTCTATTTTAGTATATAAGTCAGCAAATAAAGTGGAGGGATAATTGCAGATAGACAGATATAGAGACAGATAATTGAGTCAAGTGAACGGTAGTGACCGTAAGTAAAGTGTGTGAATCGTTGTGAATTATAGTGTGTGTTTAAGTTAAAGTGACCGTGGAAATTCTGTGTATTGCAAAGTTGTATTGAGAAAGAATAAACTAGTTTTATTTAAGAAAGGACTTGTATCGCTGAAGTTCCTCGGGAAGAATTTATACCAGAAACTAACAAACGACCAGAGATGTAACAATACTTTTATGAAAGTTCTTGTCAAATTTTAAACCATTTTATCTACTGGTTTTACTACTAGAACAAAATATAATGAGAGTTACGTAACATGCTTCAGTCTGAAGCAAGTTGTTGTTATAGGGTTAATCATAAACAATAAAGACTGTTCTGGTTTCTACACCCTAGTCTTCTCATTGATTCTTAAAAATTTATTACAAATAATATAATGAGAGTTATGTAACACACTTCAGTCTGAAGCGCGTCATTGTTATAGGGTTAATCACACACAATAAAGAATGTTCTGGTTTCTACAAGACAACCCCAGTCTTCTCACTGATTCTTAAAGATTCTTGAAAATTTATTACAAATAAATGGCATTTGAAAAGACAAGAGTTCTTGAACCAATTAACTTTTAGGTTTCTCAACATCAGAAAAAACTACTGACTACTCTGTGTGTTGTAACAATTATTTTAACTTTTCTTGTTTTAAAAATAACTAAAATAGATTATACAAAATCAAAGATTTTCTAAAGTTACAAAAAATCTAGGTACACATGTATATATACAATATGGTTCAGAACTCCAGTTTTACCACTGTTGCATCAGCCCCAAAAGACTGGATTATATTTGAACTTAGGACATGCCTAAAACTTCCTAAAATAATCTAATTCCGACATTCACACCACTTTTCTCACTGAGTTGATTCATAAACATCATGCTGGCAACTTTAACTCTTTAATTTTCTCTTCAAAAATAGTATTCATCAAAATGATAAACCTACACTAGACTGCAGTTTTGTTTATTCCTCTTAATCAGTCAATTATTTTTTTTGTTGGCCAAATGCCAATGCCAAAGAGCTCTTTGATTCAATAACAGAAGTTGTCAGCTGGACTGGAAATGTTGGCAGGGAGAAGTTTGTCCAAAATACTATTGTATACGCAACATAAAATGTTTAATGTTACAGTTTTAAATACCAAATTAGGTGAAGCAATGAAATCAGTAGGCTTATTTCCAAGTAGGCAACTTAGGCACCACCAAGTGGCCAAAAATGACTGTAAGTTTTTGATCTTATGATGAAATGAAATTTTAGTTCTTAATGGATCTTTTTTCTGTATTTTCTACTGTTTTTAAGATTTGGTTTTCAATTTCATTTAATGATAAAGTGTATTTTCATACTAAAAAATTAATCCTTAAACTTAATAAATCTATTAATATCAATATAAATATTAATGGGAGCCCATTCATTCACAAGTTGGAATTGTTCTATATCCTGCCATTTCAATTAAAGCAGAAAAACTGACAAAGCAGACTGTAATACAAATATAATTAATGTGATTAACTATATAGCAACAAAACCACAATTCTTCTAGAGCATTTTGTTTAAATATTACTCATGTCTTCAGGAAACTGTGATGATAAAACCATGTAAACACCTTTTTATTTCTACGTTTCTTTAAATTTGATCAATTTGGATTCAATATCAGAAGCATGCAAAATCAGAATACCAGATTCATCCTTTGTCTTCAATAGGTAACTGTCCAAAAAAAAATGAAGAAGAAGACTCTCTGAAACTCTATTTATGTAAGCTGCATAATACTACCTGAAATGCTATTTTTATGTGCTTCCGACTTTAACCTGAACTGGAAAAATTAAGAAAAATTTGGTTTAAAAATGTCTGCAGTTTACATGATTTTTATCACAAAGTTTACGCCTATTGGTTTCTAATGCTTTGGCAGCTTTAAGGTATTTAAACCATAACTTTTAAAATAAATCTTGTAAGATGTTGAGCAATAAATAAAAAATGTTCCTAATAGATTGTAAGTGTTTTTTCCAGAGTTTTCTTAAATTAAGGATTTCAAATGAGAGGGCATAAAAATACCACTTTAAATGTTTTTTTTATCTAACATAGAGGGCCTTTTGTTTAACCCTTTGGATGCTATAATTGGATTTATCTGACTTGACATTTACAGCAGTTTGGTGTGACAAGAAGCTTTTCCTCACAGTGTCACAAAAACTTTTCCTCATAGTGCAACAATCAGGATACTCATACGTCCTTGAATTTCCTGCCTTAGTCCACGAATTCATACATCACCAAGCAAAAGCTCAACTGGTGGATTTTGATATTGAAAAAAGTACTAAAAAGATCAAATTATAAATTTCATTTGTTAGTGGATAATTGACACTTTTGAGAACCCATTCCAAATTTATTTATGCACTCAAAGGGTTAATATCATGCTGGCAAACAAGTATGCAATTTTTATCACTATTGTTAGACCTATATGAAATACTCATAAAGTTACAGTTTATCTTAAAATAATTTAATCAATACTTCCATACTTCATCTGAGGAAAGGTCTTGATAATCTTTTTTCATTACAGATTGCTATAAACTCAATAGTTCTGCACAGCATGTTTCACTTTCAGTGTTGCTTAAACTCAGTTCTTGTACATCTCTGATTAAATTGTGATAAGTTATGGTGACCGAGAAAGAGTATAGTAATAAAAACATTTCTTGGCTTACTAGAATTCTATGTGCTGTTAACCAAATTAAAAAGAGGAGAAGGAACTTTTAAGAATATTTCCTGAAAAATCCACTAAACAGTTGTGAATTATTGAGGATACTGAAATGTTCAGTATCCTTTTGTTTGGTAAACTGAATACAAACCATTACTCTATACTAAATTCTGTATTAACTATTAGTTGTTTTAAGCTTACACTGTTATTTACTAAAGTCTTAACTTTACACATAGCAACTATAATTTGATGCTATTTAGTAAAGTCCTGAATTCATGTGGAAACTACATGTTGATAGGCTGTTTGGTAAAGTCCTGACATCATGTGGAAACTACAAGTCGATAGGTTGTTTGGTAAAGTCCTGACTTCTTGTAGAAACTACAAATTGAAAGACTGGTTAATAAAGTCTTGACTTCATGTGGAAACTACAAGTAGAAAGACTGTTTAGTAAAGTGTTGGTTTAATGTAGAAACTACAAATAGAAAGGCTGTTCAGTTAAATCACGATTTCATATGGAAACTACAAGTTAAAAGGTTGTTTAGTAAAGTCCCAACTTAATGTATAAACAAAGTACAAAGGGTGTTCAGTAAAGTCCTGGCTGAATTTGGAGACTATAAGTGCAGAGGCTGTTAAGTAAAGTATTGGTTTAATGTGGTTACTACAAGTAGAAAAGCTGTTTAGTGAAGTCCTGAATTCATGTGGAAACTACAACTTAGAGGATTGTTTAGTAAAGACCTGAGTTCATGTGGATGTTAAAAATTGAAAAGTCATTTCTACTCTGTGTGCCTATTCTACAACACTAATCCCACATTTAGTTATGTAAAAGAAACCACTGTCCATCAAGTTCATAATAAGTATGTAAGTATCAAATAATGTAAATCTTCTGCTAAACTTTTAAACATGGAAATGTTTATCTATAATAATAAATGGGCATGTCTGTGTGTGTGTATGACCACAATAGCTCCAAGAGAAAAGAACCTAGAAATCTGATATTCTGCACCCATACCAAGTGGACCCTGAAGATCTACACCTGGGTATTATTACTTATCTTATCCACATGTGTGCATATTTTGCACCCATACCAAGTGGACCCCGAAGATCTACACCTGGGTAATATTACTTATCTTATCGCCCCCCAGTGGCACAGCGGTATGTTTGCGGACTTACAACGCTAGAAACCGGGTTTCGATACCCATGGTGGGCGAAGCACAGATAGCCCTTGTGTAGCTTTGTGCATAACAAAAAACAAACAAACAAACAAACTTATCTTATCCACATGTGTGCATCTTTTGCACCCATACCAAGTGGACCCTGAAGACCTACACCTGGGTATTATTACTTATCTTATCCACATGTGTGCATCTTTTGCACCCATACCAAGTGGACCCTGAAAATCTACACCTGGGTATTATTACTTATCTTATCCACATGTGTGTATCTTTTTAATGAGGCAAGCTAACAAAAAACCACATTGAAAAGAAGTGGTTCCTTATATTACAAACAGAAATCACAGACAGACAAGCTCTTTTATTATAGACATATAACCCATCAAAAATGATGAGGCAAGTACAACCACCCCATGTATAACCTGTTAAAAATGATGAGGCAAGCACTACCACCCCACTGTAGTATATCAGTTAGATTAACAGCTTCTAATATATAGAAAAGCCAGTGTGTTTTGTTAACAATGCATTCCAACAATGGATTTTATGTCATGTTGCTTAGCAACAAATGTATAACCTAATATTGTTGTTAATCTATGTACTGAAACTATAAAATGAAATGTATAAACAACAAAACTGGAAAAATATTTGTTGACTTCTTAATTTAGTCTCCATTGATTAAAAACGTTTGTTTTTTATTTAAAATGTTGGTGATATAACAGAAAATACCTTCATCAGAAATGATTTAAGTTTAAAATTGGTTCGATATTTTTACTTTCATGATAAAGTTTATGCACTTGGCTCTAGGCTAGGTTATCTAATACTATGTCTTTACTTTAGGCTTATTTATTCATTTCTTTAAATCATACCAGCATTCTCTACACTTACAAGGTTTCACAGCCCACTTGCACGCCTGTCACTAAAATCATAATGGACAAATCGTAATGCATACCAAAATTAAAACAGAAAGGCCGTGATTCATTTGCAAAACTAAAAGAAGCTCCAAATTAAAGACTATGCCCACTTGCGAGATGCTAAAATAGGTTCAGAATACACATACTGACATAGTCATCTAGAATATATTAGCCTAATAACCCAAGCCAAGCTAGGTACTTTTGCTAGTTATAAATATTATAATCCTCTACAGAAGTTTTGTATAGAAATTGTTATTTAAAAATACAATAAGCACATGTTAACTATTAAATTCAAGGTAAATCAAAAGAATTGTTTGCTACCATGATAAACACATGGAAGCTACTCATATAACTTATCCAGGGGTGTGAAGTTTTTGGCTGAAGTTAAGAAGTGACTTCTGTTTTTAATTAACAACATAATACATGTCAGGCAAAGGTTGAGAACGTTTTGTTAACATAATAAGCATGTATACACTATGCCAATGATATTTGACTTGTAAACGTTGAAAAATGTAATTATATATTTTTTCATATATTGAAAGTATACTTTGCAATTGAGGTGTGACTTTCATGGCAGAAGTAGAGATATGATGACTTGTCTTTTTTATGAGTACATGCAACCTTGAGACATTTGAATTTTCCACGAAATAATGGGAAATAATATTGTTTTTTTACTAATGATAAGCATATAGAAACTTCTTAGGCATGAATCTTTTTAAAGGATGATGAAGGAAAGTGAATGTTTTAATAAAACTATTATGTGAAAGCAAATAAAAATATAGTCTGAGTCCTCTGGTAAAGATATCAGAGGTGGGTTAGAACTAACCTGATGAGTGAATCTTCTTGTAAAAAAGGGAATAAGATACTTGACATCTAATCGAACAAAACCTTTTAGATTCGATTTCATGAAATTTACTTCATATTCTTCTTCCGTCAGTTCTGACAGGTGCTCAGCATCAATTGTCTGTCCCTAAGCATAAAAAATTACCCAACAAGTAATGAGTTGCAGTTAAAAAATACTGAGAGCTAGTGAACACTTTTTAAATTATATACCTTAATAAATTCAATTCTAACCATTAAGTTACATTTCAATACCCATAAATGTGACACATTTAATTATCAAATAATTCTAATTTGCTACTTTCCACCGAGTGACACACACAAATTTCACATTTTAGAATAAAATTCCAATTACATGTAAACTGAAATCCTTAAGCAAACTGTGTAGTTTTAGTATCTCAGAAATAGGTTTACTTTGGAATTTTGTATTGCTTACTAATTTTGAAATGACAGACCAGAGGAAAGGCAACATTTTTAATTTTGAAAAGGGCAGCAGCAGACTTAAAATTTGCTGCCCCTTGGCCAAATTAATTTTTCTGCTCTTCTAGTTTTTCATGTTTCACCTTAAAAGTACAAATTTATAAACTTATTTTTGGTCCGTCTTTTGGTGCAAGTATGAATATCTTTTATTCCTTATTAAGACGGGTGCATCCCACATTTTTAAAATTTTCATTTATAATTGTTCATGTCATATTTGCAATATAACTAGTCACTAATTTAGAAATTTTTATGTCTTGTTTTTAACTGTGCAAATTTATCTATTATATTGTCATAATCCGTTTACTACAGAATTCTCAATAGCTAAAATAGCAAAGACATTTAGTTTTTCTTCTAAAATATTTGACCTGCAGTAATTTTTTGATCTTTTCAAAAGAGATAAAAATCTCTCTGCAGTACAATATGTCACACTGTTGATAAAAAAATTTGTAGAGCTATGTCCACATTTGGATACACATACTTCAAATCTTTGCGGTGAAGTATTTTACACAAATTAAACATTGTTATTTGGTTCCCTTCTAAATTTTCAACTTATTAAAATTAACTTTGGAAATATGAAGACACTCATTTCCAAAGAATTCCTTCAAATCATTTCTAAAACTCATGTAGCTTCTCAGCACACTAGTTTCTGGTTCTTATGTTGAATAAGAAATTAAACTTATATAAATTTTTACATGCTGCAGCTCTTTTGTTGATTTCAAATTGCAGACAATCTAATGTTTTAATCTAAACTTTTATTTTAGGATTTTATTTTTGTTGTTTTTTTCTAATTCGTTGAATATATTATCATTATGAACAGGCTAATCAGAACAGTCTTTATAAACTATTAATAAATCATACAAATGTATCACTAAATAAATACATATTAACACTTTGAAGTTTCATATGAACTGCATTAAAGACATCCAGAAAATGCCCATTAAAGCTGATTCTAATAATTTCATCTGGTGTTTGAGTCCAGCAACTTCTCATCATGTGGTTGTTTTTTCAGTAGCATTTTCTTCTATTGTTGTTATAACACCATTCCAGTTTTCACATAAACTTAAGCAAGCATCATGGCGAGCAGATGATCTAGTGTCAGATAACCTTTTTAAGCTTTTACTGCCTGGTTTTTGATTTTAAATCAAAACTTCCCATCTTTGAGACGATGCACTGAAAAATGTATAGATTTAAAGGGCCATATGAAAAACATAAAAGCTTCTTGAGGGCAATTTGCAGAACACTGTCCTGCTAAATTTAAAGAATGAGCAGTGGAGGGCACATATACAGCATATGAACTAAAATATTGTAATCTAGCTTGCAAACCAGTTGCTGGCATTGTCATATGTTTGCCCTCAATAAATAGAAATATCTTTAGAAGTAAGAGCATGAAACACTGCATTTTCAAGTTTTTACCTTGGTGTTTAATACTGGGCAAAAAGCAGATAAAATGTTCAGTTGGTGTTCAACCTGATTTAACATATCTCAGAACAATGGTCAGTTGGTTCATATGAGATATATCAGACATGGAATCTACAATCTCTGACTTCTTTGATTACGGTTTATTTTACTTCCATAGCCATTAAGTGAATGAACTGATTGCAAATTCTAGAAGAAAGATAAGACATTCTTCCACTACAAACATTTCCATATTTTGCAATATGTTCTGCCAAAAAATGGATTGAATTCAGCAATTAGTTCTAACAATGTCATAAAATCATCAATTTAGAAAACTCAAATTGTTCATCTTTTGCTCTAAAAGCAAATCCCCGAGAAGAAAGTTTTTAACAACAGCAGCAACTCTATTCAAAATACTTCTTCAATAATTAATATTTTTTTGTAAGTTGGTCAGTGAAATGATACTGAATTTCAATGTTTTTGGCTCTTTGTAAGAGGCTCATTATACATGTTTTGTATTCAAATGAATTTACATGGGAAGTTAGATGACTCCTTACATTTTTCCAGTCCATGTAGCCTTACCCTGACAAAATAGGAGTACCTTCAAACAACTGGCATAGAGCACAAAAAAAAAAAAGAAGTTCCAAGCTAGGCGAGTAGTGGTAGTAGTGAACATCAGTCCAATTGTGTGAGGGAACAGAAACACCTGTAATACATGTGTGAGGACTTATGCTGATTGGTTCAGCTCTAAACCCAAAACCCAGGCACAGGGAACCAACATTCATGTGGAGGTGGGATGAAGAGGTAAACTGCAATTTTTATGGTTCACTCCAAAGCTACAACATCCCCTTGGATAGACCCGTTTAGAGATGGTGCATCAGACTGAAGGAAATCTCATCATCTACACCAGCAGAACACCACTGCTCTATTCTCAGTGCAATGGATTCATTATTGTTTGTATCATATGTCACTATCACATTCATAAGGATGCCTCTATGGTCCACTACCCCAACAACTTGGAAGTGGAAAGTGGTAAAGATTCCTGTACTCCACTAGAAGAAAAAAGGGACAGTCCGGAGGAACATCAACACTGGAGACAGTGCAACATGAGAACATGAAAACCCAATTTTGAAAAGCACACCACTCCTAATTTATTCAGTCTAAGAAATGGCAGGGATGAGAACAAAAGAACAGATCCACATGAAACAGCTAAGAAAACCAGATCTGTATTGGCTAGGAAGGAGCAATAAGAAAGACCTAACACAGTGTGGCAAGGATGAACAAAATCACCTGAGGAAGATGATGAATGGGATGAAAACTAACGGTATAAACAGATCCCAATCCTGTCTGAATGCATCAACAGTTAAAGCAAGTGGATGAGGAGCTGGAGGCAAAGACATAAAGATCCAATGGAAGCTCAAAGAGCAAGGCATGAAATTGGTACCCAATCCCACATTGAGCAAACCTAAAACAGCAAACTGTCAACCTTGGGCATCCTCAGTCCTGGAGAAATGGCCACTAGTGTGTGATAAAAGACAACATAGTAAAAAAAGGGAAAGAATCAAGAAGTGATAGAGACAGAACAGTTCGATAACAGAACTATAATCTGTATTGAGAATATATTACTAATGTAGGGCAGGTAAATGACGGTAAGGTGCTGGACATGGAAACAAAATGTCTGGAAAAGGAGGGGGGGGGGGTAACGTGTAAAAAAAAAACTGAGGTAATTCATAATATTAATTACAAAATTATTAAAAAAACTATAACAGTATAACAGCTTATTTGTCCAAAGTTAACGGACCATATTCCAAGTGTGTGGGCCCCCAAACTCGAGGCTTGACGAAGATCAACTCATATAATAATGAATCTCCCAATGTATAAAAGATGACAATTCACGAGTCTTGATGATAGCACTGCCAAACAAGAAATGATAGAGGGAGTCGCATGCGTTAGGAGGATGTATCGCACTCCTATTGATGTAAAGTTGTCACGTGATGATTTGCATGCGAGATGTAGCTGAAACATACTGATCGTGAGATATGTGGGAACTCGAGCTTTGTGTTATGTGAAAAACTTTTTTGCATATAGAGGGCAGCACTGAACGAGAATAGCTTATTGGAATTTTTATATTAGCAATATTGCCAGGATGAATGTGAATTACAACTTTACGTCTTCTAAACTTTTCATAAGATTGGAAACATTACTACAAGAGCCAGTACTCAGCTTCTCAAAAAATAAATCTAGTTTCTTTTATTAATACTTTCATGTCAGGATTTTGTATGGGGTAGATTCTTTACAGTAGGTGTCTCTGACTTGTTGGAGATAAATTTCAACAGTAAACAAACAGCAATACAGTCTACTTCTTTTAAAATAATATTATAATAAGTCAAACATATATACAAATGTTCATTACATTGTTGGTTATAACAGTTGTATCCAGAGCTTTAAATAATTGTCTCTTTTTCATGAAAGTCCACACAGGCTGCTTCAGTTACTTTAGAACACACATAACAAGACCAATTATTCTTCTCTGCTCTGTTATTACAATACAGTTTATGATCAGTTCACTTTAAAAATTGCCACTATATACTCTTTTGTCACTTAACTCAAAATTACATAGTCTAGATCTATCTTTTGATCTAAATTTTTGATGCATATTTATACCCCAACAGAGGTCTAGAACATTCCACACACTACTAGATATTATGATGCAATAATAATTAAAAGAAGACTCAGAAGGTTCTATTAACATGATGCAATATTATAACAATTACCAATTCATAACTATTGAGCTACACAACTTATGATTTGTAAACAGTTACATAAAACTGCAATAAACTATTGCTTCTAAAAATAGCTAAATTTAACACTCATGCTGTATAAGCTAACTATCATAACAGTCACATTAAACTTAAACTGGAAACAGTCATGTATATCTAAATCTTCAGCATTTCTTTATTTTTCCTTAGCTTGTGTGTGATATTGTTTTCTACTAAGTCTTTTACTCCCATCCATTATGAAAAAAACAAAAATATTTTGCAAACTTAACTCAACAAAATAGAATATATATCATATGATAATAACTTTTTCAGATATCTGTAATGAATTGTAATTTATGATATTAAGGCAATAATCTGGGCAATTTTTACTAATTATTATTTAATATGTTTTAGTATAACATCTCTAAGATTTTTACATTACCTGGACTATAGATGTAATAGGCTGCCCAGCCCATCAAGTGATTGAAAATGAAAA